TCTATAATTACTAGATATACTGTCACTCTGAAAGGTTCCCGACCAGATAATGAAGAAGTAATATCTTCGGCAGATTCATCTGCTGTGAGCTTTCTCTTTCGTATCCTCTTTGTATCCTTTTCATATTCTTTGACTAATGAGAGTTCCAAGGCTTGCTGTTCATATTTATTAAAATTTTCCCTTTCTGCAGAAATGATGTGAATTAGACTGTCATACATTTAAATAACTGTACAAATGTCAATATCAATAGACTGTAATTATTTGTTGGTTTTGTTAATATGAACCAAAATAAAACCCCAAAACACGATCATGAAAGCAGTTTCTAGTCGTTCCAATTTCACTCTTATGCCTTTGGCTTCACATACAACAGAACGTTTTTGCTCAGGATTGTTCTCGATAGCAATCAAAGCATCGTGAATTTCTGGAAATGACTCTTTCAAACTTTTACAAGCATCTGATCGAGCTGACCAGCGTGTGTTAGATGGACTTTTGACAGTAGTTTTGTTTTTTATCATTACCTAAAAGTATTTGTGCTTGTAGAGTTTCTAATCTTTGAGTAAAATCTGTAAAAAATGTGTAAATTTCTTGAAGAAGGCCAAAGAACCAAGAAGCTTCTTGAGTGCATTCAGCGGCACATTCACTCTCTCACTAGGTTAAGCGAATGTGCGGAGCAGGGTATATATTCTGCTAGGGGACATAGTTCCTTTAATTTTGGCCTGTAATCTATTGTAAATGCCTGACATATTTGCGGCATTATCATACGACTGGCCTCTACAATCAAATATATTAATTTCAAACGTGTCTAATGTTTTAATAATAGCATCTGCAATGTCTTGCGATAAACTTAAGAAAACGTTTAACGGGCATGCCATTGGCTTGAATATATCAGATCACAAAGTTAATTGGTCAATGTAAGAAATATCTGGTGTTGAATACACTATTATTGAATAATATTTTGATATTTTGATTTCATCTTTTATTTGTGTTAAAACTTTGTTTTCCATCAATTCAATAAATTCGTCACAAATTGTAGAACTTAAGTAATTGGTACATCCCTTTCCCTTGCCGCCATATTGAGCAATATGTTTACTAAAAAACGGATCAAACTCTGCTATGAGTTCTAGCGTCATTAAATAAGTTCCGTTATGAAGAGAGCCAAGTCTTTCATCATGTCCCCTAAAAGGTAAACCACGCGATGCTAAAGACTTCACAGTCGCAACCACTCGTTTCAAACCTTCACGCCAATAAGTCAACTCTTCTAGAAATTGAGAGGCAAGCTCATGATCGACACGGCCGACAATGTTAGATCTACGTTGCATGGTCAAAACACATGTTTTATGTTCACATGAGTTTTCGTGGCTTTCTAATCTACTCGATGCGTTATTCCAATCATTAAAACCAACATTCCACCACCGAATAATAAACAAGGTCCACAATAAACTTTTCCTGCGCTTGGAGAGTAAATAAGCCATTTCCTTGGACGTTTTTCCCTATTTAATAACTTCCGTTCAAACATTGTTTTTGTCAAAAAACGTAAGATTTTATCTTCATATATTCTCTTACTCAATGAAAAATCTGCGTTTATATTTTGATTAAAGCCATTCAGTGCAATATATTCTTGTGTTTCGTTATTGATATCCCAATTGACTGGGTTACAATCCACCATAACCAGTCTATTTTGCGACTGCCTCACAACTTCTACTGCTGACAGAGTAGGCGGCGTGGGAACGAATAATTCTTGTAGTTGTTTAGAACTAGTAGGAATTTCGCATTGAATAGGGTCGGTAGCAGAAGCACTGTGAATTGCGTTTTTTGATTTTGAATCATCACTTTTTAATTATTATTTTAAAAATGTCTCAATATGTTTCGTATGCTTTATTAAACTTTGATGTTTTTTTTCTGTTTCCTTAGCCTTCCTGTTATATGCTGCACCACTAGGTTTTTTTCTTCAATTCACTCATTCTTTGAGTAATAAACTAAAACGTAATGCACTAATTTAATACAAATACAAAAAACCTACCGCTGCGAGGACGTAAACAATAGAAGCGCTCGTAACCGACGACAACCAAACTAAAAGTCGTGTCGTTCGGCGCCGGCCGCGCTACTATTGGAACCAAATTTTGTACGCCACGCGCATGTACGTCACATTCCAGACTATATGCTGATGCATTCTTTATTGAAATTAAGTATTTATGTGTACCGTAAGGCGGTGTAAGAAGGCGGAACACACGGAAGCTTTACATCTTTATAGAATTAACTAATCTTTTATATTTTAATTTTATGTTAACTATTTTCTTCGTTTAAAAACTTACGTTCACGCGCCCCCTTTTATCCTCGCGCCCCTAGGCACGTGCCTAGTTTGCCTTAGGGATAATCCGCCTCTGGCTGTTGGGGAGGCAGAAAAAATATTTCAGGTAAAAAAATACAAATTGAACAATGCTTTAAACTAACGTTTATTTTTTTCGATTCACCCTACTACCCATGACTCAGCAGCAGTGTAAAAAACAATGTTTAGAGCAGGGATGGCCAACCCAAATGATGACGCTTTACGTTATAGCGGGCCGCACTTTAAGTAAGTGTTTTTTTAAAAACGTCACGTGACAAAGTAAATCGAATGAAATTACTTTATTGTTCCATTTTTAGTCAGATTATTATAAAAAAGAATCGAAAAAAATATTTTAGGGGTTATAACGAGAAAACAGTATAAATAAATAAATAAAATCACCGCATAATTTAACATGGTGAGCCGCGGGTTGGCCAGGCCTGGTTTAGAGTAATGGTTACTTCTGGGACAACAGTTAGAATGGTAGCAATGGTGAGCAGAAAATTTTGGAAAAAATACATTTCAAAAAATTCCAAGCAAAATTGCCACTTTTTTTAAACTGCAAGGGCATTGCTTCCTTCGTAGTTCTGCAACCTTACTAGCTAACGCTGGGACTGATTTGCTGAAACTTAAAAAAACATGGAGGTTGAAGCTCTTCTGCAACTGCAAAAGTCTATATTGATGACTGTTTATATAATAAGATTAACATTTTACAAAAATCCTGTGAATAAGTGAAAAAGCAGCCACTAATAATAATAATAATAAAAATAATAATAATAATAATAAAAATAATAATAATAATAATAATAATAGACGTCTTTATTGAAATAAGAAAATACACTATTCCAAATGGCGGAATTTGAATTTAAACATTAAAAATGTAAAAATTCATTCTTACATTCAACCAAAAAATGCCAGCTATACCGGCTACAATATTATAGATATATATTATAAATATTAAGAGTGTCATTGCTGCTCCATAAATAGAATATCGAAAACTTTGGTTTTAAACAAGCAGTAAATTAAATTAAGTAATTATTCATTTTTGACTAATTCATTTTTAGAGAGTTAGCACTTTAAATTTTAAACATTTACCAAATGCCTTCAAATTCTAGTATTAAACAGTTCATCACGATTTCCCTCCCATTTAATAGATTTTAAAAATAAAAGTTAAAAAACGTACCCTTCTCACCGTATCACGAAATCACGTCATTTAAATTTTTTATACAGCCATTGTTATTATTTTAACATATACTGTTATTATTTTAACATATACAGGTATTTAATTTTCTATTTTATTATAACTCAAGTTTTTTTTAAATATTGTATGTTTTTACATAAACCAAAAATAATACTAAATTATAACTAGGTGGCAATAATAATTCATAAAAGATCAATTAAAAAAAAATTATAATATTATAATTTTTTTTAATTGATATTTTATGAATTATTATTGCCAGCTAGTTATAATTTAGTATTATTTTTGGTATTTACTAAAAATAATTTTTTAACCTTAACGAAATTAAAATATTTGAATTTGCAAAAAGTATACTTTAATATATTATATTTGTGTGGGTATAATTTATCCACACACAAGTTACTTTTAAACTAAAAACTATTAAATAGAATAGAATCGATTTTTTTTTTAATTTTGAAAATAAATCCTGGCAACACTGTTCCACTTGGTGTATTTTAATTTATTTTCAATAAAAAGAACATTTCTAGGGTTAGTTACTGAATTTTTAAATAAATTATACTAAACTTACCTAATAATATAAAATTAATTATATTATACAGTGTGTCCCCGGATGGACCTAACTATACTTGTGAACTTTCTTATTTTGTATTTTATAAAAAAGGTACTCCTCATAAAAAGTTTTGCTTATTCTGTACATTCTATGGCCATCTTAAAAAAATTGAAATAATATACAAGAAAACGTATAATCAAGTCAAGCATAATGTAACTGTTTTTTTAACGAAATGTTCAAATCATGTATATAATGTCAATAGATTTCCTAAGGTAAACAATGTTATTTTAAGTTACTTTTGATATTTTGATTAAAGTAAGTAAACTTAAAATCTAAATTTCTATTGACATTACCCACACAGCACATATATCCATTGGACGTCCATTGGACGGCCATTGTACATCCATATATATATATATATATATATATATATATATATATAAACATTAAAGATTAATCTAAATTAATAAGTTTATACATTTAAAAAAACAGGTACTATATTCTTTACATGATTATACATTCTCTTGTTTTTTAAATACCCTGTATGTTATTTAGACATTTTTAAAATGGCTATGGAATTTACAAAATAAGAAAAACTTTTTATAAAGAATGCCTTTTTTCTACTAAAATGCAAAATAAGAATTTCATAATAAATTTATACATTTAAAAAAACAGGTACTATATTCTTTACATTTATACATTCTTTTGTTTTTTAAATACCCTGTATGTTATTTCGACATTTTTAAAATGGCTATGGAATTTACAAAATAAGAAAAACTTTTTATAAAGAATGACTTTTTTTACTAAAATGCAAAATAAGAAAGTTCACAAGTATAGGGGACACACTGTATATTATATTATTTGGTGTACACAAATCTCCACCTGAATGTACGATATTATAAATAATGATAGCGAATTATTAACTTTTTTATTAATTTTTTTGGATGTTGTTTTTATATCTTATCTTTGTGCTTCAATATTAGATATATTGTTTAATGAAGTATGCATTTTCAATGTGTGTAGTGCCAATGTTTAGTAAATTGACTAAATTTTTAATGTTTTTATTATGTGTAATATTTATGTAGCAAGACTTTTAGCTGCCATATGGACTATAGTAATTTTTTTACTTTTTTAGTGTTGAGTATAAAATGTATACGCATTGTTTTTATAGATACAAACCACTTTTCATCTAATATGGACAGTTTGGGGTTATTATGCCTATATGTGTAAAACAGTCCCATCTCATTATTATTTGGTATTTGTATACTTAACATATTTTTATAGTAAGTAATATGTGTGTTTAATTGTATTATTTAAAATATTACATATTAATTATTTCAGGAAACACATGTGGAAAAATTAAACTAGAAGATGATGAGTTTTTTATTGAATTGGATACAGATCTGAAGAATGGTAGCATAAACTCAAGCGAATATTCCATGTATAATATTGTAAAAGAAATATTAAGAAATGCTTCGTTACCAGAAGAAGCTTTTCCAGCAGCCAGAACACACATTTATATTAAAATTTTAATTGTTAGTGATATTGTATGGGTTATATCTGCAGTTTTATTATTTGGTAAGTCCGCATGGCAAACAACATTTTCTCTTCAATAATAATAATAATAATTATTATTATTATTAAAAGAAGTAGGTGAGGTTAGAGAGATATTAGAGTAGAATTTTTAATTGGTCCAAATAGGTTCTTTACAGACTAGGAGGTAAAAAAACTTCACCCGATTGGTCTAAATTATTTTTATAGCCTAGGTGATAATCAATCACTAGTAGGTGACAATAGCAAAGTTAAAATTATAGGTCGCTTCAAGATAAAACTATGTTTACGTTAACAACTATAACCTCTTTTAACAAACAATTTAAAATCAAGCATGTAAATTATGTGGCAAGAAAATCTGGAAATACTGGATTTTTGTCTAAGATTCTAAAAAAAAGCTCGGATATTTATATGGTATTTTGGGCCATGTTGTGTAACGTAATATTTTCTGAAAGATTACGCACACGCCGGCTAGTTATCAGCTTGTTTTCGTGGGCCAGATCGTGGGCAAGCAATTCTCACTAGATGAAAATAATTTTAGTAATTAGAAAAAGTATTTATTTAAATGGGCGCCAAATATTTTCAAATAAAAGTTAGAGCAAGTAAACGAAATATTAAATTTAAATTGAAAATTAAAAAGTTTCTGAAATAGAGTCTGATAATCCTAAAGTAATAGTTGAATTTTTTGCTGATCTTTTTAGCTCTGTCTATGTAAATAAATGCGTTATAAATGTACCTGATTTTAATTACTCTAACTCGATAAATTTAAGTAGCTGTGCTATTAATGAAAGTGATGTTTTTAATGAATTGTGGCGTTTAAATGTAAATAAAGCTGCGGGACCAGATGGTGTTCCCCCATTACTTTTAAAAAATTGTAGATTTTCATTGACTAAACCCCTAACTGAGTTATACAATTTATCAATTAATAATGGCGAGTTCCCATAGTTGTGGAAAGAAAGTTATATTGTCCCTTTGTTAAAAAATGGAGAAAGAAGCAATGTAAAGAACTATTGCCCTATATCAAAAATTTCGCAAATATCCAAAGTTATGGAAAAACTTATAACAAATAAAATAACACCTTTGTTTAAAAATATTTTAATAAACGAACAACATGGGTTTAATAAAGGCAAGTCTACGTCTACAAATCTACTTGTTTATAAACAAGATTTGTTAAATGTCTTGGAGAAACGAAGCCAGGTGGATTCTATCTATACTGACTTCTCCAAGGCATTTGACACAGTAAACCATCAAATTTTGATTGAAAAAATGAAGGCTTTGGGCGTATCGGGAAACTTTTACTGTTGGCTAGAGAGTTACATAACCTCAAGAAAACAAACAATTATTTTACAAAATCAATATAGGTCTGAGAAAATTCAGGTTACTTCAGGTGTATCACAAGGAGGGCATATTTCCCCTCTCTTATTTAACTTGTCGTGTAAAATTTTGTAAATATCTTTTATTTGCCGACGATCTTAAATTATACAAAGAAGTAAATACCTTAAGAGACTGCTTGGATATGTAATCAGATTTATATCAAATTCAACTGTGGTGTGATACAAATGAAATGAAATTAAATGTAAATATATTAGTTTTTATAGAAACATGAATCCTGTGATATATCCGTACTCATTAAATAATATAATTTTAGAAAACTTTCATGTCATAAAAGACTTAGGTGTTTACTTTGATAAAAAAGTTACATTTGGCTACCATGTTGATTATATTGTGAATAAGGCTTTTAAAATGCTGGGATTTGTTAAAAGAAGTATGAAAGATTTTAATGTTCAATTTGTTAAAACTGTTTATATGTCCTACGTACGTAGCATTTTAGAATATTGTCGTGTAATTTGGTCTCCTTTCTATGTTAATTCTTCCATAAAAATTGAAAAAGTCCAAAACAAATTTTTGCGATTTTGTGGATTTAAATTAAGTATTTTATTTCGGTCTGTGTTGTCTGCTAGCCTTATCCTCTGGCAATTAATGCTATAGGTATGAAGCTCGCGGTTCTTTAAGTAAATTTGCTACAGGGTGATATGTTAAACGGTGAAAAATTTCAATAACTTCATCCAAGCCCCGTTTGTAAAAAAAATATTTTTTTTGCTTAGGCCCCCCTCTGATAATAATGGAAGTTTGTTGCTTGTCGCTTGTTCAGAACTATCCAAGGAACAATCTTTCACCATTTTATCTTCTTGTTCTTAAAAAGACTGACTGTATTGCCTACCAAAAACCATTGAATGTACTCTTTTGAAGAAAAATCATATTTTCGTTTGCTAAGATTCCAATTCGAAAAATTTGAAAACCTTTTCAAGGTAAGACATAATATTTCATTATTTCAAAGTAAAAACTAAAAAAAAATATTTCATTTTTCAAACGGGGCTTGGATAAAGTTATTGAAATTTTTCACCGTTTTACATATCACCCTGTACGAAATTTACTGGAAGAACCGTGGTCTTCATATCTATTGCATAAATTACCAGAGGATGGGGCTAGAAGACATCACAGACCAAAATAAAATTGTTTTAGAAACAAAAAAGTTATGTCGCTTTGAAAAAGGACGAACTTTTTGGTCGCGACACATTGAGTGGTGCGCAGTTTATATGAAACCGCTTTAACACTGTATTTCAAAAACAGTGACCCTTCCAAAAAAGTTTTATTTCGGTTTTAACATTATTTCACCCCAGGAATGTACTCATTTATGTGGTGTTATTTCGGGACACCCTGTATACAACATTCTATAAATTTAAATACAATGTTACAAAATGTGTTTTAATTCTTTTTAATTTTGTAAATATAATGTTTAAAAAAATGCCATTTTTTATGGAATACGAAATCGTTGAAATGTCAGCCGCGGAAGCGCTGGCACGACTGAATACGCTGGACCCAATTTTCCATGACTCGAGCACACAAAAAGCCGAAATACCAAAAATTTCGCGTTTAATGTTGGCCTGCAGATCTTCTAACGTTGCTGGCTTGTTGGCATAGACCAGCGATTTAATGTCACCCCAAAAAAGTCTAAAGGGGTTAAATCGCACAAACTGGCGAAAATTGGCGTAAGCTCACGCAACGTAGTCGCGATAGAACGTGAACTTTGATAAAAAAGTTGAATAATTTGCAAACGTTGTTAAAGCGTGTATCTCTCCATGATTAAATGGCATATACTGACGTTCCAAAATGCAAAGAATTATCCAACTACACTCATATTCGAGAAATGTCAAAAACAAAATGCGTCGTCCCTATTGAAAAACCCTTTATTGTATATATATTTAATTTAATAATTTTTATAAAATTATTATATGTTTTTACACCTGTCTATAAACAGGTGTGTGCAAGATTTTAAACATATTGTTGTTTATTGCTATTTTAAAATTTATTTTTTTAACCGATTTTGTACAATATTTATAATTACTGAGTTAAAACTAGTAAATGTGTTAATATAAAATAATAACAAAGCACATTTGCAAATATTCTTATATTAATTAACACTAACGAGTAAACAAAAAAATGATCTAAGCGTTAATTATTTTAAAGGCCTTAAAATTTAAGGCTTAAATGATTACCATTGTAGTTACACTATATTGTATTTTTTATATTACATCCATGCCTTAGGTTTAATTACACTGGTCGACAGCAATTTTGCCACATGGTGACCAACAACGTTGCTGTACAGCAATGAATTAAAATAATATTTTATATATACAAGTTTTAAATAAAAAAATACTCTGTTTAACAGCATTTAAAATAAATACAAATGTTAAAAATATATATAAAAATCATTAGGTAAAATAAATGTAAAATAATGGAAAGCATGATTTTTTAAGAAATATTAAATCATTAAGCATTTATAAATCAATGTTTTTTCCAGATTTTGTTTGAAACAGTGGCACAAGCGCCATGAGCGATAATGACCGTAAATTTAAGTTTGAACACGCGTAGTATTTTGTCAATGATTTATTGATTGCGTTGAAATTTTAGAAGGATAAAAGGCAAACATTTTTCGTATTAGAGCACTATTAATCGTGAAAATTGTTAAATTTTCAATAAAAAACTATTTTATTTCGTTAAAAACATGATTTTGATGGGGAAAGAGTGGCGGCTGGTGGATTTTGGGCACACCCATATCTCACTTATTAGACATGGGACCCACATCAAATTTATATGAGTTTATAATGACATTATATAGACACGTTCTGCGCAAGCAGAATTTAAATTAAAGTTTGCGAAAAAAAGTTAGTTTTTAGAGTGTTCCCCCAGCCTCCTGCCCCCAAAATTAAGATAATTCAAATTAAAGTGGTACAATATTTAATTCACTGAAGTTTATCGACAAATTTCATATTTTTAGTAGTAAAAAATGTTTTTTTTTTACAATATTCCAAAAACAAGAGCAAATTAGGCAAAATCATGGTAATTTTTGGTATCAGCGCATTCAAATTATCATAGAAAAGTTTTCCACCCGGTGAGAAACAAAAAATTTCACATTGTGGACCATCGTTATTATTGCTAATCTTAATTTTCACTTTTAGTTGGGACTTTATTAAATGCTAAAAAAATATGGGCATTAATAGTTTATGGACCTTGGTTAATTTTAACAGGGTTAATGGTCGTAATGGACGTTTTAACTGCTGTACATTTTGGATTGGATATTATAAATATAAGGGTAAGTTAGGTTCAACATTAATTTTTACTATTTCGTATAATTCCTTTACAGATATTTTAAATTGAATATTTAAAAATTTAAGTTGGTAAAATTGGATGTATTTATATAAACTCTTATTGGTATAAACCCTATCTATATAACTATATATATTTTTTGTTAAACTAAATAATTACGTAGGTAAACATATTTCAAATGTAATACGTTCAAAAGTCCAATTATTATAGGTACACCTCTGTACAATAATAAAAATGCATTAAAATTTACATAGAAAGAGTGGTTTCATCTATTGCATTTAACTTGAAATTAGTGCAAATAACTCAAAATTACTGGTCAATGTATAATAAATTCATAAACTTAACCTATATATACATATATTTAACCGAGCAGTTCTATGAAGCATGGTAGATTTTTGTTTGGTAGAGTTTAAAAAAAATGCTTTAAACGTATACAAATTATACATTTTTGAAATTGTCTAAGTCTTTAGTTTTCATATATCACTCGCGCCACCCATTTTTTTACCATCAAAAAGTTACTAGAGGTTTTTGGTAATGAAACTTAAAGTAAAACTCACGACCGACACCCTTATTAAAGTTAAAATTTTTAACAACGTAAAAGTAAGTTACTAATAATAGTATTTGGCAAATAAACAACTTTTCATATAAAATATTGCATAAAACTTTTTAAACATTACAATTATAATATTGTAGACATAACTTTCTTTCAATGTTTCAATTAAAATATTAACACAACTTTCAAATGAAACATGTTTGCAACTTTACTTTAAATATACAATAGAAACATTTATTTTGGAATGTTTGGGAATATTTTTCAAACATTGCAATTATAATATTACATTGATAAGTTTTGGGCAATGTTTCATCCGAAATATTACATTAAGATGATTTTTGCAATGTTACTTTATATAAACAATATAAACATTTAATTTGCAAGATTTTTGGAACATTGCAATTATAATATTATAGATTATAGATTAGAATAGAATTGGTACATGCAATTAGAAAAATTACTTAGATGGATTATTTAGACTTGAAATCCTGATGCTTTGTCTTTAACGCCCGTTGTTCCTTGACCGCGACTGCAAGCTTTTAGCACGCGTTGATTGTGGCGGTCACCCAGGTACACTGTTCAAAATTTCATGACCATTTTAACACCAAATTAACACCAAACGTGGTCTATATCGATACAAACCAAAATGGTGTTAAATAAGGTCCGTTGGCCGGTGTAAATTCAAATACTAAAATGGTGTTAATTTAACTTTCACGCAGTATTAAAATAAATTTTACTTGGTGTAAATTGAACTTCTTTTCGGTGTTAAATATTATGTGTTTGTGGACAAATTAAATCATACTACACAGAAAAAAGGAAAAAAAAAGGAAACAGGAAGTTCCTTGACGCATTACTAGTATATTACCAGTGGTATTATTCCAGAAAATGGAACCTTCAACTCGCTAGAGATAATGTTTTTAGTGCGTTGCACTAACTTAAAATACTTTAAGAATTGACAGCTGTTTCCACCTATTTAAGGTCTCTTTAGTATCGAACAACTTGTAGTGTCACACCAAAGCAAAGGATTACCTCAGTTTATATATTCTTCATGTAAGTCAACAGACGCGAGATTTAAGAACGTCACGTGATCCACACCGCCTTTGCCGCGATCGGTACACATTTTCAACCATAATTTATGGTGTTAAATTAACACCACTTGGTGTTGGATTTTGACACCATTTTAAGATTACTTTTTACACCACAGATATTTTAAACAGTGTAGCCAGGTAGCCCGGTAGGCTTATCGTTGTGTGCTAACCTTAATCACTCACACACTCGTACGACGTTATAGCACTTTGTTGCTTAAACCGGGGGCCACCTGCACTTTTCGCACTTATTATTTATTTATTTTTATTTTTTATTTTATTGGTTTTTGATTCGCTTGTATCCGATATATTACCGGATTCATAGTTTCGTTTTTGGTACTGGCGTTTGTATCGTTTACACTGCTTAGGAGGGTTCTCGTTAACGACCGTTTTATAACCTTTCACTTGAAGTGTAAGAACGAGACTGTGGATCATAACACTTAATGCCACTGACTATAAAACTGATCCAAATTTTTTTATAATGATATGTATACATATTTACAATTGATGAAATGCCAATAGGTCTAATTAATCAACTTCACTTATTTCACTTTTTTGAAAAAAACCAATAGAACACTCTATCATTTACGTATTACACTTGGAAACTGGAAAACTTTTTGAAATACTGCATTAAAAAAATTATTTTACATGGATATAAATAACAAAACAAGACTAATTGGACTGAAAAGATGAAGTTGGGGAGTACATTTCGTAAAAGTTTCAGATTTTTACTTTTTCCTCAACATAATGATTTAAATTATCAAGTTTCAATATTTTTTTTACTAAAGAAAATGATAGTCTAGAAACTTAAAATAATCGTTACGTTGTTTATTGTATAAGTACTTAATAACTTAATACCTTAAAAAAATCAACTTTCTAGATTTAGTAGAATAGGCTCAGGCCCTGTGCCACAGGGGCCAGACAAAAATCACAAAAATAGGGAAATTATTACAAATATTAAATGGTTTACTATTCTTTTACGAGATGAACTAATTAGATAATAATAATTAATATTGAAAACATACTTCTAGGCACTAAAATAAAATTACAATCATTTTAATAATTGCCACAGAAAAAAGTTTTAGCCTCTTATAAGAGAGTATTAATAGTTCCATAGATTTTCTTTATGATAGTTCTCAGCAATGAAATTAAGTAATAATAACTATCATAAACTTATTATTTAGGAACAACACATCTTTAAAACTCTTCATAAAATATTTTTCGTCATGATTACTAACGAGACCAACAGAAAGAAAACGGGCGATTCCATGCATGGATTCGCCCTTTGGTTATATATTTTTTGTAAGTCAGTACATGTTAATGCCCCAACACCAATATTTAATTTTATCAGGGCAATAAACTATAGTCAATGTTCGTTTTTTTTTCATTAAAATCGGCAATATAGCTTCGGGTATTGTATTTTAATAGTGCAGAAAAGGTGCGTCTTTGTATGCTAATTAATCCAGTTCGCGCAAAGGACCTTAAGTTTATAATTAGAAAAAACATCAAATTTTACATTTACGCTCAAAATATACTTCAAAAACTGAAATTCCCAAAGGAAGTCTGTTGATTTATGACTTCCTTAATAAATTTTGAGGCCACGGACTACACTGAGTTAATAGACCAAATGTAAGCTGTCTCCGCGTCCAATATTGGAAAGTTTAATAACCGAAACTGAGTCTGCAGAAAAAGTGTGCGAAGAAGAAAACAGAGATGAATATATTAGAACAGCATTGCTCTCAATATCAACAATGGCAACATTTTATAACAAATCTTTTAACGCTTAATCAACCTAATTTACCATAATCTTATAGGTTGGATGGTTGGGAAGGGTGTGGGTGGTACTGGAATTGCAGCCTCCTCCTCGTGGTGAGTTTTGAGTCATTTCATACAAAAATGTGAAATGGGCGAAGAGCTGCAAAGTTATGCGATAATTTATAATTGAAAATACCACAGTGCGTGATGTATTCGTAAGATGATAATTTTTACCTTAATTTTAGACCAATTGTTCTGTCATCAAACGACTAAAACGAAGTTATTAGATGCTTTTAGAAGCCAAAAAAGTTTACCTGTATTATACAGGCTGTATATTTTGGGCGTAAATGTAAAATTTCTCCTCATTTTTACAAACTTAAGGTCCTTTGTGCGAACTGAAGATTATGACTGATGATTATGATTTCCATTAATAAGCATTCAAAGACGCAACTTTTCCGCACTATTAAAACTCGAAACTCTAAAAAATTATTAACTAACATCTGCGACTTCATGCTCCACGGTGTTAAGCTGTGACGTAACTTCCGTCGCCTGCTAAAATTTTTCGCTAAAAGAAGTATAACTTCAAAAATAATTTTAATATAGGTACTATCTAACATTATTTTAAATTTATTCCTTTGCTGCATGCGCTTAATTTATTTAAATTTATAATATTATTTTCAGTGTTTTACGAATTATCTGCGTTTTATTGGCGTTGAAAATTACAACGATTTTAAATACCTTGACAATGTGGGCTCTCTGAATCCCGTGATGCCTTCAATAATATTCGTTTGTTTGTCATCGAGGTTTTTTATTTTTTGGATACCAAATGTATACGCATTTTTTTGTGTTTTAAATGCTGCTATTGTAGCATTCCAATTAGGACCCAAACCTGGCAAATCTACCGCAATAAATCTTAGTAATAATATAGAGGTAAGTATGACATTTTAAATTATTATTTATCCCGTTGTCGTCACACCAAGCCCTTTGATTTTAAATTCTTTGTTGTTTTAAGAAAGGTTCTAATTGTCCAACGAAATTATTAAAAACTGGAACCGTCGTATAATTAAAAAAAAAATGTTCAAGATCAATTTCTTGATTTTTAAAAAAGTTCCTCTGTATTTTATAAAAGCCGGTCTTTCAACATATTCCAAGATCCTTTATGTAGGCAAAGGGCTGCCTAAGCAATTAAAATGATGATTACAGTGGCGTAACTATCACCGCTGGGGCCCGTGGCAAATTCATCAGATGGAGCCCCCATCAATTTAAAGAAGTTTAATGTTGCTTATGGCCTACTGTGCTCGCGTTCTTTGGCCGGGAGCCCTTGGGCCGGGGCAGTGGCATTGCCTGTTGCCTCTGGATGATCACTGAACTTATTATAATTAGTGATGTAAAAAAACATGTTTTTTTCTGAAAAAAACAAAACGTTTTTTTTTCAAATTATAAAAAAAAACTTTCACAATAATTAAAACAGCGTTTTTTTTGTTTCTTTAGTTTATATTGTCCATAACCTGAAAACTGAAATCCGAAACTGCAAAGAAAGACATAAGCACAGATAATATTACTACTACTACTAGTATTATTAATACTATAAGTAATATAAGTACAGCTCTCAATGTGAGAGCTGTACTTATAGTACTTGCAGTATCAACAATCGCGATACTGACTTGGAAATGCCTTGTCGCCAAAGTGGCTTATCAATAGTACCTAACAAATATAACACAGCTACAGTTGACTTGGTTGTAGATCATCTAGATTATATTTTCGACAGTTCTTTGTCAGGTACTTCTGAAAACTTTTCTGTACACGACACTGACACGTCTAAAGGACCAGAAAGTATTTGACGTTGATTCTGATTATAGTGATTTTGAATAGTAGGTAATGTAGGTTACACATTGACATGTCATGTAAGATTTAGATGCTTTTTTTTTCTTATAAATAAAATCTATTTTAGTTGGTTCATGTTTTAATTTTCATAGACACCCATGTATGTTTATTTTAGAAGCAAGTTTTTATTTAGCGTTTAGCATCAATTATAAATAACGATTATTTAAGTTTAAATTTTTTTTTGCTTTAGGTTTACTCTTTTCTCTTATAATCTCTATTAAGAAAAAACAATGTTTCTAAAAAAACAATTTTTTTGAAAAAAAAAACAAACCCCTTTGTTTTTTTTTCTAAAAAAACATGTTTTTATTTCTGTTTACATCACTAATTTTAATGCATCTTGATTTACGACATCCAAATATTACATGTCGCGACAATTTCTTAAACCATGTCCTGTTATTGTACACTTTAAAATCTTACAATTCCTAACTCTTTCTTAAACCACCATAGAACAAATATATGAACCATTATGCAGAAGATGATATGCGACAACAACGCCTTCCAGAATTGTCCCCCTTGCTCCAGAATGCGCTTCGTGTTTTTTGTCGCCTTTGAGTAACTTCTGGCTGGTAGATAGTGAAAGATATTAAGTTAAACCAAATGCCGATGATAAATAATGATTATGATTACCAAACATGTATACTATTTTATTTAATAAAACATAAACCCTGATCTTAAAAATTGAAATACAATCACTTCTTCTTCTTCCAAAAACTTAAGAAGAAGAAGAAGAATCACTTTTTACCTGACCAGTGGTCGCGGGACCTTGTGTTGTGTGGGCACACAGGCTGCAGCCTAGGTAGCCTATGCCTAAATTCGGCCCTGTTTTAAATGCTTTAAGAACTGTTCAAATTAGCGAATTTTGTATAAAATACACAGAACGCACTGTGCTCTTGTAAAACCATTTATTTTGATTAAATTGCATGTAGTTTACACGTAATAATAAATTATTTTACCATATATATGATAATTGGGAGAGCAATCAATCTTACCCAAATAAAGTAAGAAATTTCACGTCCATATTCAAGCAGAAAAAATACAAAATCGCCTATTTGCGCATTCAAACAAATTTTATTAAAAATCGTTAAAATAATAAATAATTTTTTATGTTTTATGGTCTTTAAATTAAATTAAAACAATTAAAAGTTGTGTACACGCTACGAAAAATAAATAAACCATGTCTAAGTTATTTTAATTAAAGGGTGTCCAAGACTTTTTGGTGTTGTGTATATGCATAATATAATCTGAATAATTACATTACATAAATGAACCAAAAAGGTAATATTAACATTTTATTTCAGTCATCATTTAATGAAATTAATTTAAACTCATCACAAGCTCGAATTAGAAAGTGGCAATTATTTTATGGTGCAGCCGAAACTTCTAAAGCAAGTGCAGGTCCAAATGATTTGGATCTAAATTCTAACAGTAGAACAAGCAGCTTGAGAAATTCAAGAAAAAAACACGTTATGTTAAATGGTAAATACATTTATTATATTTTAGTGGAAGTATTTATGTAGTAAACCTAATTATTTAATAGAACCTCCTATGATAAAGATACTAAAAAGAAGACCCGATACAATTTCATCAAATGGTTGTGGCTACAGTCAAAATCCATGGTCCTATGGAACCTTGCCTGATCATCATAAGCCCAAAACAAACCATAAGATACATATGGCTAGTAAGTAATGTACATATTATATTATAGCGATATATAGTGATACTAATTAGTAACTTATCCTAAAATACATTGGCTATTTTAATTAATGTACAAATAGTGATACTGATTAGTAACTTATAATTATATTATTCTGAAATTATTAAATTTATTAATATATATATATATATATATATATATATATATATATATATATATATATATATATATATGTATATATATGTACATATATATATATACATACAGGGTGTCCCAGAACTCGCGCCACAGAGAAAAGGGGGGCGTACCGATAGCAATTAAGATGCCAAATTTAAAAAAAAAATTCTAGGTAATAGTGTAATCGAATGAGAGCAAAACAGCGGCAGCCAATACCAAGAGATCTCGCCTAGGTTAATCTATGACTGATACTTCAGAACGCCAATGTTTTAAAGTAAAAAATCAAACTAGTTGTACTTTATTAAGCTTTTTTGCGCCCACACTCCCCATAAATAATTATCATTTCAGTATAATCATCTAAGGAAAACATTATTTATAATAACTTAATTTATAACCTAATATAATATTAATGACAAAAGTAAAGATTGACAGCAGTGTCAATAATAACTTAATTTATAACCTAATATAATATTAATGACAGGAGTAAAGATTGTCAGCAGTTTCACAATGAATTGAATTTCAGTGGACCAAATATTTTTTCTACGACCACTATGTAAAAGTCACTTTTTATGATGGCATCGTTGCTTAGAAAATGAATCTTTTCATTGGCAAGGCAAAACACGAAAGTAAAGTGTGAAAAGTGACAGGTCTGTGTGAAAAGAAATTGACAGCATCGTTTAACATTCAGCTGTCAAAAAAGTTTTTAGGTTATTTTGTTTTGTATTTAAAAATAATAAAAAATAAATGGGTCGCAGAAAAAACATTGTGTTATACTTGTGAGAAAAGCTTTCTTCAAGGTCGTGTTAATGCACACTCGGCCTAACGGCCTCGTGGGCAACTTAAAAACTCGCATGAAAAAGTCGCTTTTCAACACTTGAAAACAAATAACTATTACATATTTTTTTATTATCAACAATGCAACCTAAGTATCCTAGCAATTTAAAGAATTTCCTATGGCCATCTATTGGGATTGGCTATCGTTTTTTATTCTTACCTCGCCTATCCTTTGCGTTAGAAAATTTTAAAATAAGTGTGTAATAATATGTGTTTCGTGTTACTTTCGGCAAGTTCCCTTTTTCTCTGTGGCGCGAGTTCTGGGACACCCTGTATATATATATTTATATGTATGTGTGCCAATTTGTTGCAACCACACCTTGTTCATATTTATATTAACTATTTATGATTGTTAATGGGTTATAAACCTTTGAGAGACGAAAAACGGTTTTGTAGGTATGTATATAATCATATTATAATCATATACAACCTCCAAACTTGTATGGTTTAACGTCTTTGTTTAAAATACATTCATGAAACTACGGTACGGCCATTGCATGATAAGTCGGGAACAACTCGAACGAATCTTAAAAAACACACTCCTTCGTGAACGAAGGGATTTTTATTTGGAAGAAAATTTTAATTTTTTTGTCGTATAAACATTTTTGCAAAACAATTTTTGTACAAGGTTCACGAGGGAACTAGTAAATACTAATGTGTGTGTTTTTGTTTCAAAATTTTGTTGAGCCAGATTTATCATGCTCACCGCAAACCCTTGTAAAAAAGGTGTTTCGGAGCAATGACCGTAGTTTTCACAATTTTACCAATTTTATTATATTTTTTTTACAAATACGTCAAACCATATACTATTCGATGCTGTATAGTGTGTTTAAATAAAATTATGATTATATACCTAAAAAAATCAACAAAATCGTTTAACGCGCTTTACAAAGTTATATAACCAACAACGTTGCGGTTTTGGTAAAGCCGAACACCATGCAATGGATTATTAATCAAAACTTTTTCAAACTTATAACATTAATTACAGAACAAGCACGACATATAAGTAGAATAGTTGTGGATAGTGTCAATTTATGAGCATGCGCAGTAGGCTAATTTTGGTCGTATGCGCAGAAAAAACATGTCAGCCGGAAGAAAGTAAATAATTATGCATAATTAATATTAATTTTGATTTATTTTGTAATACGCTAGTTATTTATATCCTTATTAAATTGCCTGTATTTTAATCAATTTTCTAATTATCTATAGACAGGGTGTACCAAAAAATGTTTAGACATTTAAGAAGACTAAAATAAAATAAAAAGTTATTATTACAAGTTATAGGTGGCCATAAATAAAAAACGTCTTATGTCTCACCCGTTTAATCGACTATTGGGCTAATCCACCGACTAAAGTAACTAAATTTACAATATTACGTAACCACACAGCTTTAGTCTTTTTATTCCTGCTATACAACATGATTCACATTTTAATCCACCAAACATTTACATCCAATATTTAATTATAATTTACTTAACTCAATCTAAAACCTAATAATTATTTCACAAAACTTAACATCCTAACACTTAACACTCACATAGTGTAACCATTAAGTAACGGTGTAACACTTTACATATTATATTTAAAATGTAGGGTAGGTATTTTATTTAAAGGATATTTAAAAAAAACAAATAGGTACACGTTCATATTTTTTATTATTTAATTATAAAATCTATTAAAAGATGCTTTAAGCTTTACTACCATAAACAAAATAATTAAACTTATTTACCAACTCTAAATACACTAGATGGTTATTATATTTGGGTGTAGTTTCTATAAAGCTCTTAAACATTTTTGTATCGTAATAATTATCATCATTATTGTTATGTATGACTTATAACGCTCAGATGAAGATCTGTATATTTTTAAATGTACGTGGAACGATCTTAACCTGAGTAAATTTTCCAAAGTTAATTTTTGGAAAATGTCATATTTTCCTGACTCTTTGTTCGTAAACTTCACAAGTGTTTTATTTAATGGTAAAATTGTGATAAAATAATTTGAGACATCATATTCTTCTCTATTGTTCTTGCCATTCAAAATATCTGGTATAATATGCATGAGCTCAATAAACTTAGTCTCGATAAAAATAAATAATTTATGTTCTTTTTTCAATTGACATAACTTTACTCTGTTGGCAAAATTACTGTAAGGGCTTACTCCTATGATGTAAAATCTGCTGCTCAGCGGCATCCTTACTTCTTTAAAAAGGTTTCTCTGTTCGTAATCTTTGACTTGCAAGGATATAATAAGTTGACAGCATCTGTTAATACTAACATTCCAACAAAAACATTAGAACCACCCCAACCTAGTTTTAAATAGAGTAATCTAATCTGGTCTTATTAAATTATATTTCTATTTTAAAATTTTTTATGTTTTTAAACATAAAAGTTGATTTTTCTCGAAAACGGTCAACTTTAGAGCTTATGACCAAGAGTACCTTTTTTGTGTAGAAAACATTGGCGATTCGAATAGGCCTCTCAAAACCGTACATTTTTCAGGGGCGTAGAAGTTGAGGAGAAAAACACCCGCTACCCCTTCAAAATCTCCACCAATTATGAGTAAAAAAAAATTTTTTTCTGGCACATAACATAGCTTATTTTGAGTAGAAAATGCTTACAAAAGCTGTTTTTTGTACGATAAACGGTTCCGGAGATATTCGAAGAAAACGATTTTTTTTCTAAAATTTCAACACCCTGTATCTCGAAAATTGTGCATTTTAGAGGGTAAGTTAATAGCGACTTTTTTCATCTTTTTGGATGAGCTATCACATCCTGAAGTCCTGCGCATATATTATGAAACACCCTGTATATAAAAAAAAACTCGTTAAAACAGATGTATGTGTGTGTGTGTGTCTGTGTACAAAGTTAAACCACCCATATTATGTAACTTTTCAGACATATCCTTAACGTATGTAATCTGATCTAGTCCAATTAAATTTTATGGCTAACACGAAAACGCCTCTTAAATAAAAAAAACCCATATAGTAGTCAATTTTATTATACTTATGAAATGCGACTATACGTCTCTGTCTGCATCATGTTTTTTAAAACTACACGTTAAACTTGCTGAAAATTTTAAGTATTATACCCCCACTATGATAGGGTAAAAGATTCCCTTAGAGTGTAGACGATTCAGTTTATTTGTGTTCTGAAGCTTGAACGGTGCATTATACCAAAATTGATACTGTATCAAAATTAAAAAAAGTGCAAGTAACAAGTAACAATGGGTTCCCAAGAATATAAAAACATTATTTTGGAAGAGGAGTACGACCGTTTAATTCCACGATTTAAGATTACGGCTCGCAGGTGGTGTTCTCTTTTAGAACTTACACCGGAAGTCAATCCCCAATCGAGTTTAACAGTAAATATTCTTTTTAAATAATTGTTTAAATATTTTGTTGTTATATTTTATAGTTTAAATTACCACACATACAGAGGGTTTAAACTAAATAAACACTTAGTTAATATTTTAAAAAATCAATTTTTTTATAATAATTATTATAATAATATATTTTTATTTTTAAAGGTTTAAACTCAGTAATAAATAGAAACTCAGATCGCCCCTTGGCAATTAGTTTAAGAAAGAGGAGTCAAATAACGGCCTCAGTGATTTTGGATACTCTGGGCAAGGTTCTACAACGCTAGCTTTTTCACCAATAACCGACTCACTCTATCAATCTATCGGGTTCAGTTACCGGTACGTGGCAGGACTGCTGTAAAGGGCGACACTTTTGCAAAAATAAGAGAGGTATCGTAGTTGTTAATAATAAGGATAATTATTGTCTAGCCTATGCTTTAGCGTTAGGTATAGCCTATCATAAAGACAGAGCCGAGTTAAAAAAACTTAAATTAAAACCTATTCTTTTAAAAGTACGCGGTAGAGAATTATGTAGGGCTTTTGACGTGAATCTCTCAAATGGAGGGAGTCTTAAACATGTTAAACGTTTTCAAGATAATTTAAAAGATTTTACGATTGTTGTGTACAATAACAGAGGAGGGTCTAAAACATATTTTAAAGGGCCAAGAAATGAAACGCGTAAAACAATAAATTGAATTTTCGAAGACAATCATTATAACCTAATACTAAGTTTAACGGCAGCGTTTTCAGCGTGTATCTTTGCTAGTTATTTAAAAAACGTTTTAGTTATAAAGAAAAGCATGTTAAATGTCCCTATACATGCCCTAACTGTCGTAGCTTACTACGTAGCTTACTACTCCATATACTGTACGAAGTAAAGGAGATAAACTGTGAAGATTGCCATGGGACATTTAAAGGTATCGCGTGTTTAAATACACATAAGGACAAACTTTGTTCAAAATTTCATAGATGTTTGACATGTTTAAATAGTTACTGGACTAAGGATAACCATAAATGCGGATACAAATATTGTCCTACGTGTTTATGTGTGAAATCTGTTTGTCATAATTGTTAGATGCAACCAAATCGCATAAGTGATAAAGTAAAAAAATCGCTCGAGAACCATTTTTTGTTTGTCTTTTATGACTTTGAGTGTATGCAGGAAAAAGCATTATCCAGTAATATTTTTTTACATGAACCAAACTTATGTGTAGTAAAGCAAGTTTGTTCGAATTGTCTAACTGTTGATAACATAGATTTAGATTGTAATAAGTGTGGCAAACGAAAACATGTTTTTTTAGAAGATCCTGTCGAGTCACTTTAGAATTTTCTACACGAATTCGAAAAGAAAAAAAATAATGTTTTTGCTTTAGCCCACAATATCAAAAGTTATGATGGTTGTTTTATATTTATTGAACGCTTAAATTATATACCACTGCCTCTTAATAAACTTCCAAGTGCGTTTAAATTTAACGAAGTAAAGGAATATTTTCCAAATTTATTTAATAAACGCGAAAATAATAATTATGTATACCTATAGGTTCTTTATCTGATCCCTCTTTTTATATGCCCAATTCAATGACATCAGATGCTCGAAATAAATTTTTCAAATGGTATAATAAACAAATATTGAATAAGGTTGTTTTTAATTTTAAAAATGAATTAATTAAATACTGCATCTTAGATGCATTAAATTTCGCGAAAGATTTATCAAAGTTACAAATATTGATAAGGTTGTATTTAATTTTAAAAATGAATTAATTAAATACTGCATCTTACATAGATGTGGGTATTTTACGGAAGTCGTGCATTAAATTTCGCGAAAGATTTATCAGAGTTACAAATATTGATCCCTTTTAAGAGGCCACAACGATAGCTAGTGTATGCAATAAGGTATTTAGGCGCAATTTTCTTCAGCCTGAAACCATAGGAATGATTCCTTTTAAAGGTTACAGACTGACAGACAATTGCTCTAAAATTGCTCTTAAGTGGCTATGTTGGAAAGAATCTTCATTTCCCGATATTATTCATTAAAGAAAATCTCACAATTGATGGTTTTTGTGCGACCACAAATACTGTTTTTAAATTTGATGGCTGCTATTTTCATGGACGTGAAAAATGCTATCCTCATAAAAAAAATCTTTTCAAAATAAGACAGACATAAACGATTCAATGTTTACAAGACGAGATAAAACTATAGACAAATATAAAAGAATTAGATACGCCGGGTATAATTTTGTAACGATTAGAGAGTGCGATTTTTAAGAGATGTTGAGAAATAATGCAGAATTAAGAGATGCTGTAAATAATAATACTAAATATTCACAGCTGCCCTTGAATCCGAGGGACATTTTGTTTGGACGTACAAATGCTATAAAACTGTACCATAAAATATCAAACGAAGATGAGAGCATTTTTTACTTCGATATCTGCTGTTTATACCCTTTTATAAATAAATACAAAAAATATCCCATTGGTCATCCTAAAATTCATATCGGCAATGAAGCTTGAAGGAAATTACCTCTGGATACGGTAGAGGGTCTTATTATATGTGCTGTGTTGGCACCTACACATTTGTATCACCCGGTTCTACCGTATAAATGTAACGGTAAATTGATGTTTCCTTTATGTAAAGCTTGTGTAGAATCATTGAACCAAGAACAATGTTTGCATACAGAAGAGGAACGTCAATGAATTAAGGAAAGCGATTCCTTAAATTTTAAAATCTTGTAAATTTATGAGGTATGGTGTAGTATAAAGTTAAGCAATTCGATAAAGAAACTGAGCCTATTTTCAAAATATGTTGATCCGTTTTTGAAAATAAAGCAGGAATACAGCGACTGGCCTAAATGATGCAATACAGATAAGGATAAAATCTCATATATTGTATCTTATTTAGAACGTTAAGGCATAAAATTAGATGAGTCAGAAGTATGTCATAACGCGGGTTTGAAATTTATTGCCAAATTAATGCTAAATAGTTTTCGGGGGTAAGTTCGGCCAGAGAGCAAATTTGATGCAAACCGCCGTAATCACTAAACCCTTTGATCTATTTAACATGTTAAGTGACCCTTCTGTTATTGTTAACAATATGGTGATTGTTAGTGGTGAAATGCTTCTCATATGTTGGAATAAATACGAAGATGCTATTTCACCATTAAACACCGTTAATGTTGCTAGATCCACGGCTATGGCGCGATTTACTCGTATTTGGAAAACGAGTACTTTACTTTGACACAGATAGTGATATATTCACGTATAAAAAAGGTGTGTTAACAGATGAAGTAGCTGAATACGGTCCTGGCAGTAAAATAATGGAGTTTGTTAGCGGAGGACCTAAAAAGTACGCCTACAAAGTTTATATTGCGAGCACACAAGAATATAAGACTATTGGCAAAGTAAAGGGTATAATAACTCTTAATAATAATAATAATAATAATAACGTTTATTGTCCAACAGATATAAAATCCATTTACAGAACAATTACATATAAGAAATTAAAATAAGTCCTAATATTATTAAAAAAATATATATACAAAAAGAGGTATAACAAGATTAGACTAAAATTTTTTTACATAAGCTATCAATTATAAAACCAATACTATTGAAGTTAATGTCACATTTATTGCAGTATATATTAAAATTTTTGCACATAAAATAAATTCGTGACTTAAGAATAATATTCGACCTAGCGTTGGGGCAGTAAATAGTAAATCCGTTAACTTTGAACAATTAAAAGCCATGGTATGCGATAATGCTGAACCAATATATGTCCACAATACACGTAAAATCTGTATTAAGGCTGACTATGATGTTATACTAAACGGCGAAGAAGAGAACAACTACGATACCTTGCCGTACGGGTTCCTAGAAGCTTTCGATGAAGACACTGAGGTAAAAATAATAAATAAAGAGTATTTTAATTTTAGTTTTTTAGAATACACTACATAATTATTATTATTATTATTAATATTTTATTGTCTACTTGCCTATGTTATTTATACTTACTAGAGTTTATTATTTATATTTTAATTTATTTTATATCAAGTATACCTCTGTTTTACATATATTTAAAAAAGAGTTTTGTTTTTTAATATAATTTAAGAAACATTTTTCTTACAGCTAAATCATTGTTTTATGTGTTGGATAAAAACATATCCAAAAAATTATTTAAGGTATATTTCATACTTAAACACACTAAACATACAATACAATATTGACCGCAAACAGTAGAAAACAACCTCTGGATTACATTTGGGTTATATCCACTTTGTTAAGTTTTTATTTAAAAACTTTTTATAGCATATTTAGTAGGTCTTCCAAAGTTGTCAAAATAGCACCCATCACCTTTAAAATCAGGATCATTAATTACTATAGCCAATGGCTTACTTATATACCGGGGTATTGGATTTATAGGGTAAACTCCTGTATGAACATGTAATGGTAAAAATCTACGTAAATATTTATAAACTTCAGATGAATACATTCCACAATTTTAACGTTTTTGCATTGAACGATCATTATGATAAAAATATTTTAGGTACAGGTGCTTTTAAAGAAAAATTTATTTCAAATATTTTTATAATATAAGAATAATTAATACATATATATATATATATACAAAAGTGCTCTTTAAGTTCCAACCTTACTTCCTAAGAAGTCCCAGAAGTCAACTGAATGGCTTGAGTGGGAAAGGGGTAGGAACGGACTGCGGGCTTAAAGTCCCCTCCGAAGGACTAACTACTGTAATCAACCACTACATTTCTATTCTTAGCTATTTCAATAATATCGAATTCAGCGTAAATAATACAATTAACTGTCTCTGTAAGTGCCTCTTTAAAACGTATAGTAACTTCCAAGGGTAGGCCACCCTTTCGAATAAGATTCAAGTGAGTCATTATGTTTGCCGAAAGATCTGGTGTTAGATCAAAAGCTGTTAAACAATAACCGTGGGGATATTTCATTCTATCTATACAAAGGTTATTTGAAAAATGATTACCTGTCCCAGAATATAAAGTATTTATGACCTTATATAATTATTATTATCAAAATCGAGTTGAAGCGGTTTAAAAGGAATCTGCTGAAAAAGTTTATATCGTAATGTTTAAAATTAAACGGATTTTTCGTATAATCTCAGTTGAATGCTCTATTTGATACAAAGCCCATAACACATCTTTTAGGTAATTGACACAGAAATATATTATCCAATGCCTGCTGGTATAGTTAAAACTTAAACGTCAACCTTCGTTATAGGGTATTTAACAGAAGCTAGTTGTGAGGCTTTAGCATGTGCTATCAATACAGAAGGATTAATTTTAATTACTCTATTACTTGTTACTAAAAGAGTTGCATCTATGATTTTTATTTTTGGTTCCTCTATAGCAGGAGCCATTAAAAAAATTATCTCTTGATCTAACTAATTTTACGCGACCATTTATTAAAAACTTTTCTTGATTAAATGGGTCACCACTAAAACATCCAATTAAATCTACTTTTTTTCCTGATGCTGTAAACTGGCACCTTTTTGTATGTCCTATATTACTTGGATTTAATTCATTCATTGATTTAGATGTTTCTAAATACCATAGATTTGAAGTGAGATGAGAATCTGATGCCTCAGGACCGTAATTAAGTAATATTTTTATATATGATCTATATGAATGTTTGGTGGAGAAATTAATTTTTAATTTAAACAAACATCAACTTGACTAAATGTAGGATATTATTTACAGGACCAATCGTTTTTTCACCCTCTGTGGCGTTTTTGTAATTTGATTTGTCTTGTTTACATATTTTAGCTCCTATATGCAATAAAGTATGAGATAAATTCAAATATTTATCAACTATACCAGGTATAACAAATTCCAGAGGTGCTTGATCCCTTAAATATGAAAGATGTATGTAATGAATCCATATCCCGGACTCTACACTAGTTTGCGTTGAACGTATGGCGAATAAGTCCAGTTCACTTTTAATACACTCACAGGATTGATTATGGATGAACGAGATTGTTTGTAGTTTTTTAGTCTTGCGCTTGCTCTTACTTTTAGTAACTAATACTTTATGATTTCTTTTATTCGCTTTCTTTCTTTTTATATGTTTCCCCGACCCCACTATTTCGTCGACTTTTTTTCATGGCTTTAGCTTGTAAATTTTTTGTACCTTCATTAAACCATTCTTTAAAAGCAGCTTTGGGTGGTTTACTCTGTATAATATCCTTAGGAAAATTAACACCTGTATAAGCAGCTTCTATTCCTATTATTTTATATCACCTTTAACTAGAGGAAATATAGTTCTATATAAGCTTTTTAAAAACTACCTATGACCCTCCATTTTCGGTATTATTCACTGCTCCCACACCCGAACCAACTTGATTCATATAATAATCGGCTTTACAGTCATTTTATTATTTTAAAGTGTAGTTTAACAGTGCCAGTCCCAAATAAGAATGGCACTAATTCACCGGTTTTAGTCCTTATATCAATTTCTATATTCACAAATTTACCTTTTAAAACAGGAACATAGTGCGTCGGTGGAAATACTTTCATTTTATGGCTCCCATAAATATATTTAGAATTATCCATTTTTTTTTTTTTTTTTTTTTTCCTTGGCCGGCGGAGAAATTCTTTACGAACACTCGGTTCCTCTTGGGGCCCCGAGTAGTGTGGGACTCCGTCTGACGTATACCCACTAAAACTCCCCCGTTAGGTGGTTCAAAGCCCTGCACTGCGGTTTGCTTTCGCAATCCTATTGTGCCCCACATGGTATTACTTCCATAGCTCTAGCTCCGTTGCTTCTATGAAGCGCAGTAGCCGAGGCAGTGGAAGCAATTTTAAAAGTTCTGGTGTGAGTTTAGACTCTCCCAGGTGTGTTCTTCTTAAGGTGTTGAATCCCTCACATTGACACATAATGTGAAGAGGTGTTTCCTCTTCTTCTTCGCATCCTCTACACAAGGGGTCATCTGTCATCCCCATTTTGTGAAGATGTTTTTTGAATGGAGCATGGCCTGTGAGAAGGCCTAATGCTTTTTTTAGTTGGGTCCTGGTATATGTCCTCATTGGTTTCTGCCCTTCAGCAGATGGATTGTCCAAAAGTGCTTTCGAATGCTCCAGACCAGACAGGCTTTCCCAGTATTGTTTGTGTTGTAGTTCTGTCCAGTCAATTAGTTTTTTCCTGGATGATTCTTGGCTGGTGCCGCATGTGGGTTCCGGCCCCATCAGCAGGGTTTCGGCTTCATCAGCTGCGAAGTTTGGCTTCCACCTCATCGAACTGTTTCTGCCTTCTTCTTGCACAAGGATAAGAGTTATCTGGTTTTGTGCTTCGGTTAATGCCGTCATATCTCTCAGACATTCTAGTACGGCCTTCGAATTGATTTCAAATGCCTCCAGTGCCTGGATTGGTTCTGGTTCGTGTGTAATGATGGTGAGCAACTTCTCCGTGGGATTGCTCTCCCTCATTCGTTGGAAACCCAATTGTATGGCAATGATGCCCGCTTGAAGATCGGTTATCTCTTTTCCCAGGTTTAGTATTTCTTGACTGCCCTGTTGAGATACCTCTTTTATGCCCGCAGAAACACCGGTCTTTGACCGCTTGTGTTCTACGTACCAGATTAGGTTTTCTTCTTGCCTGAGTCGGGCGATTTGGTTGTTTATCTCCTCAGCCTTTATCCTTTTTGAGATAAAAGCTTTATTGAGGTGTTTGACCTTGGCTTTGTCTGTTCTAATGGCTAGACTGCCAGTATTTTCTAGCTCTTCAAATATGGCATTATGCCTGATGGTGGAAATAACTTCGGCCTTATTTGAGATTAGTCTTTGGGCTCCCGCTAACGCTTCAGCTTTAATCTGAATGTGTAGAGGGGGGAGTCCTAGTATGTTTTCCATGGCTGCGGTCGGTGTAGTTGTCATTGCACCAGTTATTCCCAAGCACGCCAGTCTTTGGATTCTGCTGAGTGTCTGTTTTACAGTCCTTGTTTTTGTTGCGTGCCACCATATTAGCGCCGCGTAGGTAATTATGGGTCTGACCATAGCTGTGTACACCCATTGTACCATGCCTGGTGACAGTCCCCAAGATTTACCAAATGTTCTTTTACAGGTCATGAAGGTTTTTATGGCCCTATTTGTTATGTTCTCTATATGCATCCGATAGGTGAGTTTTTTATCCAGTGTAACTCCTAGATATTTAACCTCGTTTTTCAAGGGCAGCGTTTCCCCGTAGAAGATTAGATTTTTCACGGGTTCTAACTTTCTTTTGCGAGAAAAGGCGATAAGGGAAGTTTTTGTGGGATTTACCCGAAGTCCCTCCTCATTGCACCAGTTTTCGACAGCGTTTAGCGCCCTTTGCATTTTGGTAAACACATGGGCTGTGTTGCTGCCTCTGATAAGGAGTACAATGTCGTCCGCATATCCTATTGCGTATATTTCTTTGTTTTCCAATCGTGTCAGTAAACTGTCCGATACGAGGTTCCATAGCAGGGGTGATAGCACCCCCCCTTGTGGTGTCCCTCTGCACACTTTAGCTCTAACAGTTGTGTTGTTAAGAGTGGTTCTGGCTCGTCGTTGAGCCAGCATCTGTTTGATCCATTTGCCAACCAGAGGTTCTATGTTGCGATCTCTTACTGATCGATTTATTGAGTCATATGACGTGTTGTCAAACGCTCCTTCGATATCCAGGAATGCCCCAAGGGCCACTTCTTTGTTGTCTAAAGATTGCTCAGCCCTTTGGGTTATCTCATGGATGGCGGATTCGCAAGACTTGCCTGTTTGGTAGGCAAATTGATTTCGGTGTAGAGGCCTTCTGTGCAGTACTTCTTCCCGTATATGTTGCTCTATCAGTTTTTCCTCTGTTTTCAGAAGAAATGATGTTAGGCAAATTGGTCGAAAGGATTTTGGTTTGTCATAGGAGGCTTTTGCTGGTTTTGGTATAAAAACCACCAGTGCCTCTCTCCATCCTTC